AAGGCTTTCCCAGCCAAAAGGAGGAGGGGAGGGGGTTAGGGGGTGTGGAGGAGAGGTTGGGGGGTTGGAGGAACAGAGATCTGCAGCGTGAAAAGCGATGGGATCTCAGACAATAGCTCAATTCAGCAAAGAAGTGCTTAGCCAACTGTGAGCTGGGGGCACAAAAGACCCAAACAAATTGGGGAGGGGGGGTGGGAGAAGAAGAAAAGGAAAAAAAAGGCCTTTGGTTTTGACCTGAGACAGGGCGCCCAGGAAGCTGCGCTCGGATGGGCTTTCCTCCTGCAAGAAGGATTAGGAGAAGGCTTTTCCGATGACAAGTCTCCAAGCTGTTTTTCCTTTCACCTATGGGAAGCTAGAGCCGCAATCAATGAAGCAGGCTGGATCCGGTCTCCACCGCAGTCAGTCGTGGGGGTGCTTCCTTCCAGCAGTCCCTGTCGCTCACTGAAGAAAATGTGTATGTGTGTGTGTGTGTGTGTGTGTGTGCGTGTGCGCGCGCGCGTGCGGCTCCCTTACACACACACACATGCACACACAGGCTCTAGGCAGGGTCCGCAAGCAGCAGCTGCGGCAGTTCTGCTCCTGTGGAAGGAATCCACCCACAAACAGAGAGAGAAGGTCGTCACCAGAGCCCGAGCTCCTCCTGCATCATTCCAGTGCGCTGGCGCTGGAGCTGCCTCTGCGTGTGCGCCGCGGGCACGCACAGGTTTCTCACATACTTGTGCATTTTTCTCCTACCTACAAGCTCCTGCGGTTCCAAGAGCCATGCCTGCCAACCGATCCCAGGCTCCTGGCTGCTTTCAATGCCTCCAAAGTCAATGCCCCTCCTCAGTAGCTATAGCTCCTCTGCAGAAGAGTCCTGAAAGCGGTGAATGGCTACCCAAGGGCAGGAAACCCGGCAGCCACCCAGTCTCATGCTAATCAAGAAGCTGTCTAAAGTTAGAGCACTGATCCTGTCAAGCTTCACATTTTAATGTAAAACACCCCTGGGCTTCGCAAGACAAAAAAAAAAAAACAACCCTTGGCTGGTGCCCCAGCCTGTAGTCAGCTCTTGTAAATTTACATATTTTTAGGATAGTCCAACCCCCTTCAAAAAGACTGTGGGCGGGAGGAAGGAGGAGAAAAAAGATCTTCCGCCTAGAAAGGAAATCTGCAGTTCACCTTCCCCACCTGCAGCAGATTCTAAGAGGGTGTGCTCATCTGACAGCTGAAAATTCCAAGTCAAAACGTCCAACCGGTCTAGAAAACGAGGTGGATGGAAATGGTCTCTTGTGCTAGTCCCCTCTTGTCTGTCTTGCCTCTCTCCTTGTAAGCCACTACCAACTAGCTAAACTGCATTAAGGTCGGCCACCCCTTTACAAATCAAGGCTTGTGTGCAGCTGTTTCTAGTCTAACAGCCAATCACTGAAGGACAACAATGCACATGGTGAGCGAGGGGAGGAAAGAAAGGCAAGCTGATGCCTTCAGCTTGGATGGAGCCCAAGCAGCAGAGTTAATGCAAAATTAAAGGCGCATGGCCAGATTGCCAGCTAAATACTAAGAGTATTGCTGTTGCTGATTCTCCGCCTTTTACGCCTTCCCCACCCCCACACACAAACACACAGCAAGCCTTCCTAGCTAAGATTCAAAAATTCTTTAATATCGCTAAAAGCGAATATTTACAATTTGATTTTCAGTATCAATATATTCTTCCCTCCTCTCCCTCCCCCCCACTTCATTTCACTTATCTAGTAATTCTGATACGTATCTGTGTGTATGTATATACGTGTGTATGTGTGTGTGTATATATGTGTGTGTGTGTGTATGTATATATATAATATATATATATTATATATATATCATATATGTATATGTATATGCTTTCAGAGACAGGGTCTTCCTGTGAGCTATCCTTCTTAACCTGATAGAGGGCGGTGGACTGATTCTAAGTAGTTGACAATCAAGAAGGCTAAGATTCAGAACACTCTAACACAATTCCTAGCTATTTCAAGGCTGAAATGCCTCGGAGACAGGCTCATTTCGGTAAGCCTAAAAGCATACTGTAAGTTAGGAGATGATTTTCAGCCCCAGACATGTTGTAGAAGCTAGGGACAAGGCACTCCTATTCTGTCACTCACCTGTCCCCCTTGTTAAATAGGAACAACCTCATTAGCCTCTGAGCAGGGAGGTCTGGAAGAGTAACCAATAAAAATATAATGATAAAATACTTGGCTAGCCCCTGTAAGAAAATAATATTTAGGCTAGTGACATACTATTATTAAACATAATTCAAAAAGCTAGCTTTCTCTGACATTGTGAAACAAGTTAGGAAAAGGAGATTCCCCCAAAGTCCTTGATGTGGATGATTCCTGAAAACAGAAAACTGCAAAAGACCAAATGCACTAACTATGTGACAAAAGTATGAGTAGTGTATAGCCAAAAAGATAAACTGTGAATCATCTTTGACCCTGAAATACCTCTACTAGACTATACCCCAAAGAGATCACAAAGACCCATACGTACGGAAATATTTCTAGCAGCTTTTTTTGTAGAGGCAAAGACCTGGAAACTAAGGTTCCCATCAAATGGGAGATGGTTGAACTCATTACGGTACACAAATATAATGGAATGTTGTGAAAGGGATGGTTTCAGAGAAACCTTGGAAGACTTGTGTGAACTGATACAGAGGAAAGTGACCTGAACCAGGACAACAATTTATACAATAACAACATCATAAAGTCAAATAACTTTGAATGACTTAAGATCTCTGATCAATGCTATGACCAACAATTATTATAGAGGACCAAGACTGCACCCACCTCCTAACAAAAAGGTGATGGATATAGGATGCAGAATCAGACATTTTTAATATGGCCAACGTAAAAATCTGTTTTATTTGACTATGTATATTTGTTACAAGGTATTTTCCAGTCCTGCCCTTTGGCGGATGAGGATAGAAGGAAAAGAAAATAAATGCTTAATAAATTTAAAAAAAATGAAATTTGAAAAAAAATATATGGCTAGTCGTACTTCTAGCCTCCAAAATCTTTTGTATTTACAGTTTTTCTTATAGGATCACAGATTTAGAGCTGAAAGGAACCTTGCAGTTGCCTTGAAGTTCAGCCTCCTCCTTTTGTAGAAGAAAAAACTGAGGCATGGATAAACTTAAGTTGTTTGCCCAGGGTCACATGGCTAAGAAGTACCTCAGGCAGGATCTGAAACCAGGTCTTCATGACTAGTATCACGGTTAATCAATGATATTATACTGTCTCCACATATGGTGGATAACCAAGGCCCAGAAGTTGGCAAATATTGATTGATTGGTACATGAGCTTCAATCACCTAACCAGGTGATTGGGCAGACATGGGCACATCTACATGGGTATACTCCAAATCTTAAGAACATGCCTGCTGGTAGTATACAACCCCCTATTTTTCTTCACAACTTTACTGAAACAAGACTAGAAACATGGTATCATAGAAAGTGTTGGACTTGGAGTCATGAGGTTCCGAGTTCAAATCTCAGCTCTGCTTCTTATTAGCTATGTCACTATAAGCAAGTCTCTGTTCCTTGATGAGCTTCAAGATTCCCCATTCAAAGAATAAGGATAATACTTGTATTATCTATCTCACAGGGCTATTGTAAGAAAAATGTGTCATAACCATTACAGTACCTTATAAAGAGAAACTACTGTTATGACTTCATCTCATTGGCTCACAGATCGAGAGCTGGAAGAGCCCTTAGAGATCACCAAATCTTAACTCCTTTATTTTGCAAGTGAGAATACTAAGGCCCAGACAGGTTAAGAGTCACAAACAGGAGTCAAACTCAGGTCCTCTGGCTCCAAATCCATCATTCTTTCCATTGCCCCTAGGAACTATTTCTTCAACTATAAAATGTAGTGGTTGGATTAGATGGTGTGTAAAGTCCTTTCCAGTTCCAACGCTTTGCAATTCTAACATTTGTCCAGAACATTTTCTCACCATTTGCAATCAAGAGCCAACAGCTGCCACTGAATTCTGCTACTGAGATATGAGCATGATAAATGGCTATGTCTTGGTTCAACACAGAAAAGTAAAATAAGGAGGCTATTATGTCGGTTGGGAGAAGAGTAGGATGGTACCAGATTACTTGGCATTAATCTCCAGACCAAATCTAAGCTATCCAAGCCTTATTTTCCATGGTGAAAGACTTTACTCTATTATGACATAAAAGGAGGTGTGTCCTATAGCAAAAGCAAGGAATAAGTAATAAACAAACACTAGTATCCATTCATGTCCAGAGTCCTAAAGCAGGGTTCTTATCTTAGGGTCAATGAACTTTTTTTTTTTGGAGGCAATCGGGGAAGGTCAAATTTGAACTCAGGTCTTCCTCACTCAAGGTCTAGTGCTCTATCCCCTGTGCCACCTACCCACCCTTGGTCAATGAACTTTTAAAAAAATAGTCTGATAATTATATTTCATCATAAATTGTTTCTGGAGTAATATTACCCATTTTATTTTGTCTTGTCACTGAACTTCAATAACTCTGGAAGAGAGAGTGAAGCTGACAACTTTGTGCAATTCTGCCTCACTTAAATCCAATTCATGAGCAAGTCAAGACATCACTCTACAATGTCATCCTACCTCTTCAAAAAATGAAGGCCAAACAAAAAAACAACAACAATGACAACCTAATTTACTTTATGGGTTTGAAATCATTATTCTGAGTTGTCCACAGGCTTCACCAGAATGCCAAAGGGGTTCACAACAATAAGGTTAAGGACCCCTAGTCCTGGAAGATGGCCCTTCTGTGGAAGATATTTAGGAGGACAGGGACAAGAGACCCCAG